AACAGTCTTGGGGGCATGAATGTGTATTCTCTGGAGCATTAGTTCAGTAACGTCACTGCACCTTATGAAGCTTCATTCAATACAAATTTGCCGCGTTCCCAAGTAGCATCTCGAAGATAAGGCAATTGCAACGTAATTGGAAGCATATTTACTGTGTCTTTGGTGTTGTGCAATAACTGACCCTTGAGTGTTTATTCACCTTTTAGTGTGTCTCCCTTGAATGCTTAAATCCTGTTCTGTTTTACTTTCCTCTACTCTGTTTGAATTCTTAATGCTGCCATTTGGATGTCTCATGTTTCTGGACTGTTGTCATATGGGTGAACTCAAAGCTGACTGACTTCTGTAATTTGATGAAGGTATCTATTCAAACCGTTTTTAATGTGTTGAATTAAGGTGAGTTTAACGTGCTTGGAGATCATGTGTTTGGCTCTAGCGGTCTGCTAGTTTGCATGCAGAATTTAGTCTTTCAGAATTAATCTAAAGTCTCCAGTAGTAATGACATTCTTTCAGTGTGCTTGAACTATTTCTGTAATGAATGTGCCAGTCTTTAAGTCTTCCCCTCCAATCCTGCAGGATTCAAAGGCTTACTTCCACCTTCTCAATCAAATTGCACCAAAAGGTGATGAAGAGGGCCAGCCTCCAATTTCAGTTGATATGTCTGGTATTAATGTAAGTATTAAAACCTACAGCCTTCCCTTGGCCTATCTGTACACATTGCATCTTGTTACAATTGTCTGGAATTATCAAAAATAATATTCAGTTTGCTGAAAGATTGATTAAATAGTGAAAATAAACAGGAAATATAGTGCTTCTGTGCAACTAGTCAATAGGTTTAGATGTTTTCTAATCAACCTGGTTAGCAATGTAGTCAATGTACATTATCTGAGCTGCTGGTTAAGGGTTAAACACCACCTGTAAAAATTGCTGGTTAACCAGTTTAACTCAACTTTGTGGATATTTTCTAATCAACCTGTTCAGGAATTTTGTAACACGCCTTGAGTAGGTAGGATTTGAGCCTGGGCTTCCTGGCCCTGAGGTAGAGATGCAACCACTGCACCACATTAACTTTAGTTGATTAATACATTACACAAGTAATTTCACTTGTTGTTGTGGTGGTAGTAGTAGTGTCTAGTCAACCTGTTCAGGAATCCTTTTATACAGCTTTGGAGCAAGTGGGACTTGAACCCAGGCCTCCTGGCTCAGAGATAGGGTCACTGCCCCTCACCACTGCTTATTAACAAAATGAGTTTAATTCCTGGGCAATATGTTAGTAAATGGGCAAACTGATCAGATATTCACTCTTCCTCTGTGTGACAGTGATTTAAAATGTTTAACTTCCCTTGTGTAGCACGCTGGTTAATGAGTTTTAACTTTGCTTGTTTAACAAGTTGGTTAGTGTGTATTGTTATTTTGTTGTTAGTTAACAGATTCATTTTTCTAAGTAATATAACAGTTCATGATTTGAAGTTCTTGTTTTTACCATTTTTTTAAAAATATGTGAATTATCAATTTGCATTGATTTCAGTGACTTAATGGCTGCATCAAAATAGGATGGATAGGAGCTTAAAATGAAAGAATTAACCAAGGTATTGAATTCCTGCTGGGGTTCTGATTAATGAGCTGAATTCTGGTGGATGAAGGAAAGGTTAGAGAAATGGTGAAATAACGGCAGGCAAACAGGAGAATCCTTTCCAGGAATTCAGGTCCACTGCGGAGAAGGGTAGCAGCACTGTACGGTAATATTCAGGAGGGCTGCCGGAGAGGACGCAGAGAACGAGGTGGGTTTTGGGTTCTGTGGAGTGTAGGACAGAACACGTTGTTTGCTGGTGAAATCACATGCTTTAATTGCATGCACAGGAGAATGATGACCTGAAGCGAGCAGAATGCATGCTCCAGCAAGCTGACAGGCTTGGCTGCAGACAGTTTGTCACCGCGACAGATGTGGTCCGAGGAAACCCTAAGCTAAACTTGGCTTTTGTCGCAAACTTGTTCAACAAGTATCCAGCTCTTCAGAAACCCGAGAACCAAGACATAGACTGGAGTCTTCTTGAAGGTAAGATCCTGAAAATACTAGAATGCCTGTGAGTGTTAAAAAGTCCGTCCAGCTATCAATGGTTCGGGCCAAGATTCTGTGAATTGATATCTGCTCCTCATCTGATATGAGTCATAGCCCCTTTAATTTACTAATTCTGATGAGTTACAGCCCCCTTGTAGGATTATTTTTCTATTTGTGTTCCCAGCAGTTAAAGAACGTCCTGGACTGAAATCCAGGCCTACAATGGCTACAGGCAGGTCACTGACCTCTGTTCCCTTTCAAATTCGCTTCACGTATGTTTATTAGTAAGCTTACCTGCTAACTCGGTGATCGAGGGGCTAGGCTGTTAAGTTAAAATCTAGCAACAATATTATTGTCCTGGTCAATCAGGAGAGCACTTTCTGCAAAAAGATTTCTTGATCTGTCCTGTTAAATTAATGCGACTGTTGCCCACGAGAAAACGTTACCATTGCCATTGGAGTACATTACACCAACTTTATTAGAAGAATTTGAAAGCCCTGGAAAACATAGCCAAGATATGGGATCGTTGTCTCCAGAAATATATGTAAAATCATAGAATTCCTACAATGCAGGAAGAGACCGTTCAGCCCATCGAGTCGAGAAAGACAGACTCGAGCAAATAGAGAACTAAAAGTTCAGATGTAATGACACCAACTACTGTAACTTATCCCCACTCACTTGGTTTCTGTTCCTTTTGTAAATTCCATATATTCCATATATAAATTACAAAATTGAGTATTCTCTGCAAATTTGAAATACAACTCTTTTTCCTTCATCCATTTGTTAACATAGATATCTAGTGAAGAGATGAGGCCCCAGATCAGATCTCTTGAGAACACTCCTCAATCAGCATGCCCATATTGAATGGTGGAGTAGGCTATATCGTTTGTCTGCACCCTATCTCCCAATCCATTGTCACAAATTACCTCCAATTTCATCTGCTTTCATCCTGGCTGCTAATATCATGTGCAGAACCTTGACCAATGGTTGATCATGTAGACAGTGTCCATAGATGCACCCTTATCTACTGTCTGCCTTTAATTTATGCTGCCAACTTTGATTTGTGGTTGCTGTATTCCCCATCGAAGGATGGACAAACTAACTAATTTCTCTCAGGGTGGATATTCTAAATCCTGGGATGAGAGGATTGTCTTGGGAGGAGAGATTAAATAGTCAATGTTTTCTGGAATTTAGAAGAATGAAGGATGATCTACTTCACTGACCATTCTTGGGTAGTTTAGTAGAGTTGATGCAGGCAAGTTTCCTCTATCTGGGACAGGGGAGGGAGGAGAGATGTTGGGGGTGTGGGCATGCTCTAGAGCCAGGAGACACGGGGCAGGTCATCTAGGACCGAAACGTGGAGGAATCTCTTCTGTCTGAGGGTGGAAGTCTTTAGAATTGTCTGCCCCAGAAAGCTGTGAAAGCTCAGTCATAGAATTGTAGAATCCTTACAATTTTAAAGCAGCCCATTCGGCCCATCAAGTCCGCATTGAGTCTGTAGAGCATCCTACCCAAACCCACCTCCCCTAGCCTGTCCCTGTTATCCTGCATTTCCCGTGGCTAATCCACTTTACCTACACATCCCTGGACACTATGGGCAATTTAGCATGGCCAGTCCACCTACCCTGCACATCTTTGGACTGTGGGAGGAAACCGGAGCATCTGGAAGAAACCCATGCAGACACAAGGAGAATGTGCAAACTCCACTCGGTTGCCCAAGGGTAGAATTGAACACTGGTCCCTGGCACTGAGGCAGCAGTGCTAACCGCTGAGCCATGTCATTGAGTGTGGTGCCGAAACAAAAGATTAGCCTGGTGCACAGAATTGGACGCCTTATTTAATGAAGGAGGATTTTTAAAAAATAAAAATTGGAGACCTAATGGGGGAGGCAATGGCCTAGTGGTATTATCGGCGGACTGTTAATCCAGAGACTCCGATAACGTTCTGGGGACGTTCTGGCAGATGGTAGAATTTGCATTCAATAAATTTTCTGGAATTAAGAATCTAATGATGACTGTGAATCCATCATCGACTGTTGGGAAAACCCATCTGGTTCACTAATGCCCTTTAGGGAAGGAAATTGCCATCCTTGCCTGATCTGGCCGATGCTGTGGGTCTGGAGTCACACAATGTGGTTGACTCTTAACTGCCCTCTGGACTCTTAGGGATGAGCAATAAATGCTGCCTAGCCAGTGACTCGCTCATCCCATGAATGAATAAAGCAAAAAAATAAATTTGTATGTTAATTCCTATCACCTTGGATGGCAGAGCAAGTGTGCCAGGCTGGATGGCCAACTCCTCACATTTCTTATGTTTTTGCATGTTTTTACAACTCTAACTAATTCTACTTCCTATCTTTTTTGATAGCTTTGTGAACCATTCGGGCCAATTAATCTTTTTTTTTCTCTAAATCCATAGGCGAAACGAGAGAGGAAAGGACATTCAGAAACTGGATGAACTCACTTGGTGTGAATCCTCGGGTGAACCACTTGTACAGGTAAGGGAAACTGAAAGAATGAGGTGGACCAGATTGTTCCATTCTGTAGAGTTAACCGTACGTTGACCATCTGAATTCAGAGCTACATGTATTGGTCACTCGATGTAATAGTCCAGCTCAATCATGTGTGAACATACCAATGACATGTTAATAATTCGAAAATGTCACTGCCTCCCTCTGTGCCAGGAGCCCCTAGGCATAGCACTAAATTGTCACAGCACTACCTCAGGGTATTCTAAAGAACTTGGCACCCAGTCAAGCACTGTTGAAATCTCGCCATACCTTTACCCTCAATTAGAGGACAACATCTACTGAGGGTCACGTATTTCTGCCGTGGTTCTTCATGTGTCTGAACAGTCTGATTCTCGTTTATGACTGTTAATTGTTTAAATAATCTCCAGATATGTGTGCAGACACTAAAAAGTGAGAGAACATCTAGCACTTGGAGAGACCTGTGCAGAAGTTTATTGACTATACAAAGAAATTTTTGCCTATTACCTTGAGTTTTTAAACAGACAATGGCATCTTGTTTCAAGGAGAGCTTCAGTGTGTCTTTGTAACACTTCCACGGTCCACCCTAGAACACTGAAAATTTGAGAGTTGGCTAAGCAGAAATTGGTGGAATGTTCAGCCATCCAGACACAGTTACCAATCCACTGAAGCTGATTTTAGCAGGACCATGGTGTTAGATCTCCTCGTCAGTGGTGGCCTTAGGAGAGAGGTGGCTGTCAAGATTGGGAGGTGCTCAACATATTCCAGAGTATCCTCTTTAATATGCCTGTGGGTAGAATATTTGAATGACCAGGTCTGGATTGATATGACTTCTGTTTTGGCAAAACCACAAGTCCCTTGTCGGCAGAATGGCAATAACACTGTAGTCATCCACTAATTGTATGACCACGTAGATCTAAGGTGGCCAGTTAAGCTTTGGCAGAGATGGCTGAGATGAAAGAGGTTTCTGTTTTGGTTCTATTTATCACTGACACCAGAGGGGAGTTGACCTTTTTTGAGCTGAGTAACCAATGTCAGGCGGATTGTAAATCCGGGCCATCACACCGCTTTGCTTCATCCTATCTAGGTTTTGAAGATCTCCCACTCAAAGGCAGTTACAGTCATAGCATCATGAAGCAGTGACAAGATTGCGATCAGGCCTCTTAGCCATCCATATCTTTGGTGCACAGAACCTGGTGACTTTACTGAGTCACCTGCTCTGGTCTGATCAGTGACTGCAATGAGGTATTTCCATGTGTTCTCAATGTAGTCTGTGTTACCGGGCAGATTTACGTCAGAAGTCTGCCCCTGAAGGTTCAAAAGCCATATTGTCATTGGTAGGATTTCCTCAGCCACAGGAAGTAGACAACTCGAGAACATGTGTCAAGACTTTTCCTGCACAAGGAAATACCTCAGTTGTTCACATGCCATGATGTATGTCCCTCTTGAAGGTGGTTATAATTGTCACATTCCTAAAGAGCACAAGTTACTTTTCCTAAGGCAAAGATAAATAGATTTTTGAACAGTAAAGGAATTAAGGATTATGGTGAGTGGGTGGGTAAGTGGAGCTAAGTCCACGAGAAAGATTAGCCATAATCTTATTGACTGGCGGAGCAGATTCGAGGAGTCAGATGGCCTACTCCTGCTCCTATTATGTTCCTATGAGCTTTTGAAAAGCCTATTGAAGTGCTCAGTGGAATACCATCAGGGCTGCAGAACTTTTGTCTTTTGTGTGTTTGAATGTTTGTTGTGTCCCTCCCATCACTGGTAGATTACCCGTGGATTCTGCCACAACAGGGATAGCCTGCAGAGCCTTACCGGTCCCAGTGAATTCACAGTTCCAGAGTTGTTTAAGATGTTCTTTCCAATGTTGACGGGTGGTAATTGTCATCCTTAAGAAGACAGAGAAAGCAAAAGGAATATTATCCATTTAACCTTGGTCCTGGTGACTTTGAACAAAAACATAAGTTTTGTGTGTCACAATAGTCAGAAAATTGTTAGATCTGTCTTCTGACTACATGTCCTTTTATCTTCCAGATTTGGCTTTGGCATTCCGCCTTGAGCTATTCCAGCAACAGTTTTAAAATCTAGTCACTGTCACAATGTAGGGATTGCAGCAGCTAATTAGCCATGCTACAGAGTCCTAGAGAAACAAACTCTTCAGTCCAATCAGCCCATGCCGAACATAATCCCAAACTAAACTTGTCCCACCTGCCTGCTTCTGGTCCATATCCCTCCAAATTTTTCCTATTCATATATCCATCCAAATGTCTTTTAAATGTTGTAATTGTACCTGCATCCAAAACTACTTCAGGAAGATCATTCCACATGTGAACCACCCTCGGTGTTTTTAAAAAAAAAAAAAAAAATTGCCTCTCCTGTCTTTTCTAAATCTCTGTCCTCTCACCTTAAAAATATGCTGCCTAGCCTTGAAATTCCCCATTTTAGGGGGAAAAACAGCTACTTATCAACTCTATCTATACCTCTCATTATTTTATAAACTTGTATCAGGTCACCTCTCAACCTCCTATGCTCCAGTGAACAGAGTCCCAGCCTTTCCTTGTAACTCAAACCTTCCATACCTGCCAACATCCTGGTAAATCTCTTATGAACCCTTTCCAGCTTGATAATATCCTTCTGATAACTGAGTGACCAGAACTGGACACAGGATTCCAGAAGAGGCCTCACCAATGTCCTATTCAACATCAACATAATGTTCCCAACTCCTATACTCCAAGGACTGAGCAATGAAGACAAGCATGCCTTTTTAACCATCCTGTCTAACAATCTGTCTTGTCTTGATACTGTACGTCCGCTGCACTGCCATTAGATGGTACAATATACTGTTCCAATCCAATACTTCCTATCCATGGGTACAGTTGTTAAACATTTCCAGTCTGAGCTAGGAGTTGCGTTTCAAGCTATATTCTAAATTATACACAGCCAATTACAAAATAAAACCACACTGAAAACGTCTGCTGTATAAAAGGTAGATACTAAACTGTTATCCAAAAATGCTGTGACCCATTCATGAATCCCTGAGGCAAGTAGTGAATAAATTTCAAGCACACTGTATGGTTTGCTAGATTAGTGAAAAATGCAGCAGATTTAGAGCATTAAAGTGTTAATTTAAAAAATATCAATCCACCAATGCAGTTTGCAGTTTACTTTCTGCTTTATAGAAGGCAGGATGTTATTTGAATATTTTGAAAGTTGAATACTTTTATTTTCACTGTCAGGATTACTATTTAAAAGAAAATGCTAAACTTGTTTTGAGTTCCGAGAGGTTGCGGGGTGGGGGAGTTGGTGGTGGGGAAGGTATTGCCATATGACTTACTGCCTCTGTGATTGTACCTGCCATTTCTGTTACGTTGAGTTAATGTCTCCCTTTTCCCCCACTCTGATACGAGTCGATCTGCACCAGTCTCTGGGTCTGAGCATTCTGGCACGGACCAATATCCATAACTGCACCTCAACCCTGAGCTGTTCTGATTGCACAGTCTGAACATTTGATCCTATTTTCCCATTAACATACTGCGGAGATGATTTACAGTCTGTCTTGTTGCAGTGACCTGGAAGATGCCTTGGTGATTCTGCAGCTCTATGAAAAGATCAAAGTCCCAGTGGACTGGAGTCGGGTGAACAAGCCACCTTATCCTAAACTGGGAGCCAACATGAAGAAGGTGAGTTTTCTCAATGGATGGTTGTAACTTATGGCAGGATCGGGTCAGAGCTTTGTGCACACCAACTGCAATCATGTCTGTCTGCAGTCTAACTGTGTGGTCAGCAAACAGCCTTGGTGTCTCTGGTTAATTGTCTGTGACCTTGCTGCCTTCATGTTCCTAAGATTCTTTGCGTTTATCAGAATCAAACAGGCTTTAGATTAATATGTTTTTAAAACAGAAATTAAAGCACTTTAACTGATTATGAGTGGATGATGATTACAAATGTTTGCTGTTAAACACATGGCTTGAAAAGGCTCTTAATAAAAGTAGAGGTGGAGAGCTGCAGGATAGCGTTTGGGCATGGGACTGACTGGATTGTTCAATGGAGAGATCGCATAGACTCTGGACCACATGGTCACCTATACCGTAATAATGACTTTATTTTAGTATGGCTCACTCTATTAATTTAGTCAAAAAACTGCTTCAACATCACAGAATAGACACCAACAGGAGTACATTGCTGAGAACTGGAGATAGCTGGCTTTGGATATACAAATACCTTTTTAGAAAAATCTAGTTAAAGGGAAATAGCTCATTTGTTTTACCTGGTGAATAATGAACAGACTTCCACAGCACGGTGGCTCAGTGCTACCCAACAGTGCCAGGGACCCAGGTTCAATTCCAGCCTCGGGTAACTTTACAAACTCCACACAGACAGTTGCCCTATATCTGCATGGGTTTCTTCCAGGTGCTCTGGTTTCCTCCCACAGTCCAAAGATGTGCCAGTTAGGTGAATTGGCTGTGCTAAATTGACAGTAATGTCATGGGATGAGCAGGTTAGGTGGATTAGTCATGGGAAATGCAGGGTCACAAGGATAGGGTAGGGGGACAGGTCTGGGTGGGATGCTGTTTGGAGGGTCGGTGTAGACTCAATCGGTCAAAGAGCTTGCATCTACACTGTAGGGATTCAATGATACTTGTTGGCCAGTCTCAGTCCCTGTGGCAGACTGTTATATCAGAATCCTTGTCTGCCGATCTATATTCTTGCATGATCACACAGTCTCCCAAAATCTAAGGCAACAGCCCATTCGTTTTAGGTGCATTAATTTTGAGTGGGCTATTGTCTAGCCATCCTCAAAAATGTGCATTTTACAACTGTCCTGGTATCTTCTCCATGCTTGAAATGAAAAATATATTCAAGACATTTAAATAGCTTTCTTGGACAATGAATGGTTGACATTTACTGTTGATATCGCCCACCCACCCCCCACATCAGCAAGGAAAAGATCTCCATAATTTCATCTAAAGACAAAATTTCCTTCCAAATTTGGGGAGAATCATCTCCCCATGAATATAACAATTTTAAATGGTTGTGAGGGCATAAAGCAGTCATTGACGGTGTTTTTTTTCATCCACTATCTGATGACTATCGAATGTTACAGCACAGTAGCAGACCATTCTTAAAAGTGTACTAGTCCCTTAACACTGTTTGAACCCCCAAGTCTCCTCCCACTCTCATGTTCACTCTGTTCTTCATATTTCCTCTTTCTCAAACAATTATATTTTTGTCCCCTGTTAATGGATTGATGAAAACAGCTTTACCTGTCCAAGTTCAGCAACTCCAACCTCTAACCTCCTGAATGAGCACACTTAGAGTCACGGAATCTCACAGCACAGAAGGAGACCATTTTAATAATTGTGCTTGTATCAACTTTTTAATCAGACCCACTCCCACTGCCGCCACCTCCCCCTCCCCATAGCCCTGTGAAGATTTCTCTTGCTCTTCAAGTATATATCTAATTCCCTTTTAAATGTTGGTGATGACTCTGCTCTCCCCATTCTCTTACCATACTATCATTCGTAACCCCTCATTTAATGCTCAAAAGTAAATCCACGTCTTAAGTATTGCTAAGGGGGAGACTCTTCAGAATCAGAGTGGTTTTTGCTGGCCCCAGTTAAACTGCATTTTGGAATGCGTCCCACAGTATTGTAATTCCATTTGTGGAACCCTCTAGCACGATGCTCCTGAGTTGAGAGAACTAGGTAGAGGCCTCTGTCTAGCAATGCTGCCATCTATCGTGGTGGCCCAGTGACTCAGTGGTTAGCACTGCTCCCTCACAATGTCAGGGACCTAGGTTCAATTCCACCCGTGGGTGTGATTGTCTGTGTGGAGTTTGCACATTCTCCCTGTGTCTGCTTGGGTTTCCTCCCACAGTCCAAAGATATGTGGGTTAGGTGGATTAGCATGGGAAATGCAGGGTTACAGTGTAAGGGGGTGGGGAGTAATGCCTTTCGGAGGGTTGGTGGGAACTCACTGGACTGAATGGCCTGTATCCACACAGTAGGGATTCTATGATCTAGATGGCTGTCAATTGGCAAGTGATAATGTTGAGCCGTTTCTGACCAACCCAGCCGACTTGTATCTTTGAATTGATTTCATTTATTGTAGTCACGTGTACCTAAGCACAATGAAAATTTTGTTTTGTAAGCAGTACAGGCAGATCTTAGCAAACAAAGACATAAAAATCATAGGGTACTTATGCAAGGCACACCAGGTTACGGATGCACAGGTGGTGCACAAAGCAAAGCCAACATTAGCAAGATCAACATTATTTGAAGTTAGAGAGGTCCATTCAGCAGTCAAATAACAGCAGGGAAGAAGCAGTTCTTGTTGTTGTGTGTGTTCAACCTTCTGTATCTTGTGTCTGACAGAAGAGGTTGGAAGAGAGCATTACTGGGGTGGGAGAGGAACTGTACAGAAGCTCAGTTCTGGGCATCTTGGGAGAAGGGAGACGTCAGTGATTTGAGTTCAAGGAGATGAATCCACCTTTGAATAGCTTGAATAGCTTTTATTTTGGTGAATGATGGCTTAACTAAGTACTGCATCCTGCTGGTGAGACCTGTTCATTGAATTGAATTGATTTGAATTGATGAGGACGGACAACAGATAAGAGTGAGATTGAAAGTCGAGCTTTAGGAAGCTCCACTACCTATAAGCAACAGATAATTTATTCATTTTTGAGTCAACTAACTGACCATTTTAAAAATTGATTAGACTGTTTTCTGCTAATGAATCAAACCAGAGAGTTGCTAACATTTAGCCTTTGTTACCCCAAAGCTGGAAAACTGTAACTATGCTGTTGAACTGGGAAAGAACAAGGCAAAGTTTTCACTCGTCGGGATTGCAGGACAAGATCTGAATGAAGGCAAACACATGCCAACTTTAG